TAAATGCTGCCCAACACATAATCATGAACTTACTTAAATAGGAGATTTCTTTTTTAACTTCACTGGGATTACTCAAGTATAAGATGGCAGCATCATATCAAACGATTGGATATGACTGACGAGAAAGGTAAAACAATCTCATCTATAGACATGATGGGATATTTGTACCTAGAATGAATCTATAAAGAAATTTCAAAATACAAATATCCCAGTCAAGAAGCAGGACAATGAACTGAACATGTAGTTCTCAAACAATGAGAATGATGGCCAATAAATATTATAACCTGTCTGGCATACTTAGCCATCAGGTAGAAGTAGGTTGAATCTGCTTTGAAACTCCATTTCTCAGTTAAAATGGCTACCATTAAGAAAATAAAGAACAGCATATATTAGTAGTGACATGGGGAAAGTGAAGAATTATACACTGCTGCCTGGAAGATAAAATGATGTGCACATGAGAAACCTGGATGTAGGTGCAGAAAAAAAAAACTGAAAATGGGGCTACTATTAGCCACACCACTCATGGTTGTATACCCAAAGGCATCTAAGTCATACATCACAGAAATCCTTAAACATCCATGTTTCTGTAAGTGCTAGTCATAGTATGTAAGACATAGGCTAGGCTAGATGTCCATCAGCAGAAGAATGGATAAACAAACTGTAACAGGTATACCTAATGGAATTTATTCAGCTGTTTATAAGGGGTTACATGAAATTATGGTATTTGCATGAAATGGATTGTATTGATTATTATTAGGCTAAGTGGAATAAAACAGAATCTGAACTACAAATGTCATGTTTTGTTTTGTGTATATTGAATTTAGAATGTGGACTGTGAGAATCCAAATATCCTTGTGAAACTTTACCAATTATGAAAGCTAAAATGACTGTGAAAACTTTTAACATTTAGAACGTCTCTCGAAATAAGTGGAAGATGACATCATACATCATGATTGACATTTTACTTCTAGAAATAGCTCTTGAAAGTAACTTTCTCAGATTGATGCCAATATCTCTGGGTTAACACATTCTACATAGAATATTCTTTTATAAATATTAAAAAATTTCCAGGTTAATCAAAACTATAATTAGACATTTGTTTCTTTTATTAGGGCAAATTTATTAATCCTGGTTACCTAAAGAGACAAATGCATAGAAAGGGATTCATTGTGATGGGAAATGGCTCACTAAGCAACTATGTAGCAAGAATTCTAATTGGTATTAATAATAAAAACCTGGAGTCAGATATAGGGGTTAATACTGAAAGATCAGAGAAGCAGAGCAGCCAGCCACTAGTTCTTTTTTTTTTCCCCACTGAGAAGATAGACTTTATTGATTAAGGCTATAAGTAGTATTTGTCTATTAGTAAAAACATATTTTTCTTTTTTATTTAAATTAAAAACAATCCTTTCAACCATCAGCCCAGGTAGGCTAGGGGCTGTCTCTGGTTCCAGTTCAGCGGGATCCAACACGCCGGGATATTGCCAAGGCCCCAGTGGCATTTCTGCCTCCATCCATGACAAGAGGATAGACATCAGAGAATTGGATCAGTTTTTTGTCTAGAGGTGGGAAACCCTGTCCTCTCTTCTACTTTAGTATGTGTATTCCTGTTGCTTGTTTCAGTTTTGATTAGGCAGCAGTATCATCAAAGTATTGGCAATTACACTTCCTTGTCATTACTAGGACACATAATCCTACATCAGACAATCTGGTTGTCTGGCTCCTAATATCTTTCTTCCTCCTCTTCTGTCATATTCCTTGAGACATGGGTCCATCTGTATTCTTGTAGATTTATCAGTTGTGGCTGAGCATACCACAAACAGTTCATGTCTTCATTTTGGACAGTTGAGATTTTCTTTAAGTGTCTGTCTGTAGAAAAGGGAAGCTTCTTTTATTAGGGGTGAGAGCAAAACATATCTGTGTGCATAGGATATGTATTTATGATGCAATGCTGGTCTAGTAAGATGGCAGTGAGAGGTTTCCTCTAAGATTCATGAACTCAATGGCCTTGGATAGGTGTCTAGCATTCCAGGACCGATATGAGTTCCTTTCTATTTAGTGAGACATAAGCCCCATAAGATAGCAGTTGATTACTGCCAAGGTCTGACTAACAATTACAGCTTTATGGCTGTCTTTGCTTTGTGGTCATTGTTGGGTTTCCTAGTCATATATTCTGGCAGAATGAATAGCACCTTCTCTTTCTATTTAAACTGCATTCTTGGAATTAAGATATGCTCAACAGGAGGGAAATCATACCTGGTATAGGAATCCTACCCAATTATTCAAGTGTCATGAGGTCAAGGATCTTAGAGAGCTACAATCACCAGGTTACTAAAGCAATACAATTCCTGACTACATTCTAACTGTTCAACCTCATGCCCACAGATCAAGGTAGCTGGCATCTCTCATGAAGGAAATTTCTCTTTCCAACAGAACAGACCATTACAAAAAGATACACTATTCAAATTTCAGGGAATAATGATATATGGTCCCCCTGTACCAGCTGATATTTCTATAACACAACTCTGCCTTCAAGGCAAAGAACATTGTGGAAGAGAGGGTAGAAAGATTGTTAGATCCAGATACCTGAAAATTCTGCTGGGAGATTGTATCCTAGAAATTACAGAGAAATTTCACTCATGATAACACACAATTATGGATTCTTAAACAAGACATGAGCAAATACAACAGCAATAAACACAATATGAAAGAGGCAAGTAAGGAATGGTCACAGCATAAGAAATAAACTTCCCAATGGGTCAACATAATTGGTGACTCAGTACCAAGTGGCTAGTCCTGAAATAATAAATGTACAGGTTATGTTATATAAACTGAGCAGATTATATTTAGTCATTTAATCAAATATGACATATATGTGTAAATGTATGTTGATTTGTGGATTTATATATGTAAACTTAAAAAAAAGGTCTTTAGTCCAAGAGGAAGCAATGGAAGGAGAATTGGAGAAAATTCTACAATTATATTTTAATTAAAAAAGTGATGCACCTGGCCCAATAGCAGCATAATTACTAAAGCAGTTACTCACACTTTGTGATTGAATTTCCAAATCAATCCACAGGAAAAACTGTCAATCAGTAGTAAGAAAAATAAGATATTTAGGGTACAATATTCTACTATTGTTTTGTCGATTTCACATAGTGTTTAATTGCCTTCTGAATGTTTCTACATATACTATTCAAGGAAAATTGACAGATAATAAATGCTGGGGAGTAAAACATTTGTTTTATTCACCAATGTTGTCCCTGATAAGTCTAACATCCTCCAGTGGAAGATCATCTAACCAAAAATATATGGGAAACACAAAGTGAACTTGATAAGAGGGAAATGAAAGGTCTAATTGATTTCTTTTACAATCAGCCTTGGTCAGTGAAGCTTGTGTTGGCTGTTGGTGGCAGTTAATTCAGTGAGTCACAAATAATCAAACTGCTAAAATGAATGACTACTAAGTACACATTGATAAAAGGAACTTCTACATAACCCCTTCCAAGCCTTATAGAAGATCAAGGAAGTGATGGTAAGAAGATTGAAAATTCCATAGAATGGTGAGTTTTTAAAACCCAGTAATCTGGACAGGATATAGTTGTTGCACCCATGAATACACAGCACTAATGTTTGATGCCAAAAAGTCATGCAAAACACTGGGAAAATAAACATTCCACTGAGGATCAGGAGGAGCTTCTAAGGCCCCATGTCTTCCCAAAGGACTATTAGCTGTTAAGTTTTACTGGGTATATTATTCAGGGTTAGATACAGGGACACAACTGATAGAATGGCTCTATGTATGTAGAACATGGGCTTATTAGAGTGGCTTATAGGCTGTGTTCTAGCTAATCTAATAATGGCTGTTTACCAGGAGAAATCTGTGGGTACAATAATTCCTCAGTCCATGAGACTGGTTGTCTCAGCTGGTCTTCAGTACATACTAGAATCCTAAAGAAGTAGGCTCTTATTCTAGTGAAAGAATGAATTTGCCAGAAAGAGCAAGCAGGCAAAGGGCAAAAGCTTTCATTTTCCATGTCTATTTTATAGACTGCTCAGATTAAAGGTAATTCTCCCCACCTCAAAAGATCCATATTAAACATGGCATTCTCCTTCAAATGATTTGAATTAAGAAAAATCCCTTACAGTTGTCCCCAGACTCTTAGGTTTTAGTTAATTCCAGAAATACTCAAATTGGCAACCAAGAATATGCCACTTGGAAGACATATTCCAAAGTGGTTTAACCATTGATAATTTGACTCTCGTAAATAACCTCCCACCCAAATGCATATTAACAGTCTACTTAAGTGTAATGTGTCATAAACATACTTAAACATGTGTATGTGTGGGCATGAATAGGATGTTGGAAAGAGAATGGACAAAATAAAAGGAAGAAGATAACAAAGGATAATGGAGTTATAATGTATAGTTAGTGCATACATATATGTTCATATTTTATGAAATTATAAAAAATGTTTTTAATTACATCATGAAGTTTAGAACACAGGAGTGCATAAAGGAAACTATGGTAAGAGTAATAAAAAAATTTGGGGTGTTCTGTGATATTTTTCAAGTAATTTGATAGTTTTCTGTTAAAGCAGTGATAATTGGATGTAGGCATCTAATAATTCCATGTAGGTTTTATGTCTTTTTCACTTATTCAACTTTGTAGCACATAGCTTTTAATAAAAAGGAAAAGAAACTCTAATAATTAAGGTATATTTGTGCTGGCAATATTGCACAGCAGGTTACCAGGCAAACCTGATGACTTAAGTGTGATTACCACAGGACATAGAATAACAGTGACATGAAAAGCCACAACATAGGGTTGTCCTCGAACATGCTACATACATGCCATAGCTCTCTCACACACACACAGAAACATACACACACAACAGACATAAACATCTAATTGTATAGAAAGAAAAGTCAAAATAATAAGGCACATATGAAAAAGAAAACTCAATTGATGCTCTCTATATCTTTATTTAATTTGAGTCTTACAATTTTGATTCAGCATGGATTGCAATAAATGGATCTTCAGCAGAGTTACTAATGGAAAAGTGAGCATTGCCATCACTGCCAACATTGACTTTAAGTCCAGTGCAATTGCCATCAACCTTGTCTCCAGAAATGACATCACAGTATGTGCCAGCAGGAAGACCAGTCTGTAAAGTTGCTGACAAAGCCCTGGGGATAAAAAGAAGTATTTAATTTAAATTCAACCCAGTCAGTGTAGTAAGATCCATTGTCTATAAAACAATTAAATGCCTCAACTATGTAAAACATCAAGAAGTCAGAGATTTGGTGAGAAAACCCAAAAACCATGTCCAGGTCTGGGTAAGGCAGAGAATTCTCTATACCAAAGACATCTTTTAAAATGCTTGCTAAGTAAATAGTTCATGGTGACTGTTAATAAACAATGAGAGACAGGGAATATAGTGAAACTCTCTGACAAAGCCCTCCTGTGAAAACCATAGTTCTTTCAAGTCTGTCCTCTGCTGGACTTAAATTATGATGAATTTAAATAATGCTAATATTATTTCTTCAGAGGTTTTAGACTATAGAAGGCCACAAGCAAGTTGGTCTAGAATTAAACATAAGCTCATTTCTAGAGATAAATAGTTTATAGTGGAAAACTCTGTATAAAAAGCAATTCTGGTAATCCTAAACAACTAGCCATATGTTCTTTCAACAACAGCAACAAAATAAGCATGTATTATTGTGGTTGCTTGAAAGAAAATGCCTCACAAAGGGAATGGTACTATTAAGAGTTATGGCCTTGTTGGAATAGGTATGGTCTTCTTGGAGCAAATGTGTAACTGTAGAGACAGGCTTTGAGGTGTCATACATGCTTAAGGTATACCAGTGAGACAGCCTACTTCCTGTTGCCTGAGAGTCAAGATGTAGGAATCTCAACTACTTCTCCAGAACAATGTCTGTCTGCATGCAACCATATTGCACCATGATGCTAATGGACTAAATCTCTGAAAAAAGTAAGCCACTGCAATTCAATATTTCTCTTCTATAAGTGTTCTCATGTTCATGGTGTCTCTCTACAGCAATAGAAACTCAAACAAAGACATCTATGTAATTTACATATTTGGGTTTTGCCAGTAAAATATAATTTTTATTAAAATACTCTCAATAAAATTACAAGCTGACTTTGGATTTGGACAGTTCACCTGATTCCAATAATAATCTTTGAACTACAGTTCTACAGATGAGGGAATCACTAAAGGAGACTTAGAGAGAAATACAGGAAATGAAAGTATAGTGACAAAAGTTTTAGAAGTCAAGCTGAGAAATCTTCTGGAGAAAACCATAGACTGGGTGCAAGTGAAAGTTACTTTAAAAGTTCATGAATAGAAAAATTAGAAAATGCATATCAGTGAACTGTATAAAAAACAATAATAAGTGATATTCAGAGCTAGTGGAGAAAGTACTCCAGCAGTAATGCAATACATTGTTTAAATGATTTTAAAACTTATCTTTACTCTTCATGTGCCATGTAAAAATCCCAAATGAGCATATACATATGAATATATGCCACTGTCATTTTAAGACTGTGGTGAAAGATCTCGAAAAATTTCTAAAAAGAACAGAAGAATATTAAATGAAGTATCATTTTGCCTTCTGTACATTCAGCATTCATTTTGTGTCCTAAATCATTAGCAAAAACATTTTTCACCTAAGAAAAATATAAATGAATCAGAAAAGAATGATCTAAGAGAATAATAGTATGTAATCCTACTTTAATTGATTTCCACTTACCAATCATCATTGTTAAAGACAATGAATCCTCTGTTTCCTCTGCCAAAAGCTACTTGGTTGCTGCCATTATCCCACCAGTTTGAAAAAGGTTGACCGTTGACTACATTTCTGAAGGCAACCATGTTCCTAAAAGCACAATATCATGTGAAATGCTAGTACCCTTAGACTTCAGCCATTTTAAACAAAAAGTTAAACAGCTTTCTTGTGAGAGAAGATCTGTAGGGAAATTCCCACCTTATTTGACGCCATCGATGTTCACAGACCCAGTCATTGCCACAAGTGGTGTCGGGATTAATGGTCACTTCTTTTGTGACTCCATTGTTATTAGGTGGTCCAATCCAGTCATTCACATCCTTAATTGTCAAAAGAGTGAGACCATTTGAATGCTTGTATCTACCTGTTTCTTCCCACTATACAAAACCAAACCCACACCCATCATGCTAATGCTGTCTCTGGGATGTCTAATTTTAATCTAAGTCCTCATTGTTTTTACAAACCTTCACTAAGTCCTTAACTTCTATGCAAATCCAGGCTCTCTACAATGATATCTGACACCAGAAACAATTTTTAAACCTCTCATTTTCTGCCCAATATCACTAAGAGCTCTTCAGTGTATCTGAAATAAGAAAATTACAACCAGAAACACTACCATTAATGAACAGGCTCTAGTAACAATGTGAAAAATCTCCATCATTATATATTACATGAATGTGCATTTTATCCATAAAACAGGGAGTCCTTGTCTATTCTAAAGATTAATGAACATCTATAAAAATGTCTTTAATATAACAATTTCTAAGCCAATATTACTTAATTTCTTACTACTTGCTTGTAAAATGAGCTCATAAAATACCCTGATTTTCTAAACTTAACAAAGTATAAATGCATATTTTATAATGGCTAAACTTTAAATATATTTATGAAAAAGAAAAAAGATCATTATAAACATGAAGGCTTTTCAATAATACAGTCAATTCCAATAAATAATTGAGGGACTTTCAGCTTGAAAGGAAAACAGAAAAAAACATTTGTTAGACTTACAGAGAAAATGTGTTTCAAATTCATATTTGGTGTTTCTCTGTGATTCTAGCTTTTTCCACTCAAATGGAAAACTTCAAATAGCCATTAACATATCCATTCATCTTATTTGTTAATTCAATTTTGAAATTGTTTAAACTCATACACCAAACATACACATATTGTTTGTAATTCTTACCATTCTTAGACTTGTCAGCAAATCACTGTTCTGTGATACTCATGTTTCTATTATATTTTCACTGAATACCCTCAATCCAGCTGCTTTCTCAATCCACAGAAAACAAATTAAAGCATTTTAATATGGCATTATTCATTGCACCAAGGAGGAAAGAATTTGAAATTCTCTTCAATGTTAACAGGCATGATCCAACATCACTTCTATGAATTAAGGATTTATCAATCATACCTGTTTTCATTTTCTACCTTGCTCTTAAACTACTTCTTTCTATTATTAGTAACTTATGCAATGTCCTACTTTACAAAACTGTTGCTAATAAATACTTAATAATAAGTTTCATATACTATAACTTCATGTGAAATTAAAATAGAACCACTTCCTTTTCTGGACTAAAATATTATTTGAAGAACTTGAAGACTTACTTTTCCATTCTGGAAGTTTCTTGCCCAACGGTAACTTGACATTACCCTTGTGAATCCATAAGGATGAGCCAACATAAATCCAACAGCCATTTTATACATTCTGAAAGTTTCAAAATGTTATTAAAGCAGAAGTATATCATATAATGCTGCTATTAAAGGTAGGTTACACAAGAGCAAAGAAAATTCACCTACCTAGCATCCCAGAATGTCAGGATGGATGCTCCTCCAGCCCCATGTCCTCGCTGGTTGTCATGGTTGTCCACAAACACAAGGGCTCTGTCAGAAGGCACCAAACCCCAGCCTTCTCCCCAGTTCCTACATTTAAAAAAGCATATTATTATTTCACAATGCTTAGAGTAATGTTATATAGGCATCCTCACTTATCTAAATAAATGACAATTCCATATTAAGTCTCTCTTATAAGTACACATGCATACATATATAACATCATTTCATGTGATAATATATATGAGAATTTTATCTGCATTAAGTCTTATAACAAAATTTTTTGGACTTAAATATTTTCTTTAGATTTTCTTTTTTATTGTATTGTAATTTTATGGACTTGAGAAATAAATTATCCTTGTTATATAATATAGAATGGAAAACTAAATTAATAACTGGTATAATAGAAATTTTCTAATTTTCTAATTATTTCTATGATATAACATAAGTAAGTTCCATGGTATAGCCACATTATAAGCATCACCTATAAACAAAATATTCTTGTAATAACAATCTAACTTATAGGCAAACATTCCTGGAATCTAATGGACTCATCACAAACAGTCAAAAATCACTAAGTGAAACATTGGATTTCCAGGGCTGCCTGATATTACAAATGAGAAAGACGATTAACTTTAGTTTAGGGAACAATAGGGCTAACAAATCATCAAAAATTCACAGTTGTATAAATTAGAATAGCTGAAGATATAAATTACTATGTCTAATGACAACAGATCTAACATAGATCAACTAAAGAAATGGTGTATATTTACTTTAAATAAGACATCTTCTCGCCATTCCACTTGCGAATAACAGTGCCAAGTTTTGCTCCAAACTTGAATTCTGTCACACGTCCATTTCCAAAGTACTCACTACTTTTAATTGCCTCACCACCCAGATCGATGACCTAGTAAATACATTGGGTCAGTTGTGAATTATAATATAAATTTAAAGCACATTATTTAAATATAACAGCATTTATAAATCCTTACAGTATTTTTGTTGTTTGAAATGTTCTTAATGGTTTTCTGTGTACCCAAATTCTGACTTTTTCAAAAACTGTATGTCAAAATATTGAAAGAAATCAAATTACAGCATCACTTCTTAACCTCTAAGATAGCTGACAGGGGAAAATTCATTAATCCACATAGATATAACACTTGCTGTCAGGTCATTATCAGAAGTGCTTTATAAACACATTAAAGTTTTCAAAGAAAACAGATACAAAGTATTATCTTCAGTACATTATTGTGGCACAGAAAGCTTCATCATTTTTGCCTTAATCACCTACAACCCTCATAACATGAGACAAAACTCAAACTCAGAAAGATGTGCTAGAATCAAGAAGCATGATTTCTCTGACTTGTATAATAATATCTGAGAGTTTAGAGCATGGATTAGTCAAATTTTCACTAATATGGAACCTGCTATTGTAAATAACAAAGTGTGCTATCTCTGAATAAGTGTAATCCTATTATGGAATAACGGTATTACATACTGAATGAATCATGAAATCTACTTTTTATTCTCTGTTTTGCAGAATGGTGATATCCAAAAACAGTCAATGAAGCCTCAATCCTACAAAAATAACTCCCCCAGGGAAGCACACACCAATTTTCTATTGTCTATCAGTACCCACCAGTCATCCCTGAAAATATTTACAGATTTAAAAGTTATATTTAGGAACACACACACACACACACACACACACACACACACACACACACACACACACACACACATATATTTAGTTCAAGAAGAGGCCATCTTCTTGAAGGAAGGTGTAGGGGTATATAGAAGGGCTTAGTAGGAGGAAAGAGAAAGCAGAAATGAGAAATGTTAGAACTAAACTATGATCTCAAGGGTTTGCTCAGGTTGCACCAGGTCCTCTGGATATATATTATGGCTTGCAATTTAATATTTTTATGACTTCTTAATGTGCAAATGAGTAGGTCTCTGGTTCATGGCTATTTTCTTTATCTGTCATTCTTGTCCAACTTAAATGTCATAATTTTGGTTTTATCTTATTATATTTTATTTTGTGATATTTTCACACTTAGATACATGTTTTCTAATGAGAGCCCAAAAGGGAGTAGATTCAAACAGGAGGGGAGCTGGGGAAGAAATGGGAAGAGTAGAGACAGTGGAAACCATAATCATGATATATTATGTGAGTAAAAAATTTATTTTCAATAAAAACCAAAGAATATAGTCTCAAAAATAAAAAAGAACATGAATATTGTTTTACCTCTTGAAAAATGAAAGGTCTGCTTCCTTGAGAGAACCATTGTGTATTTAAGTTGTGCAGTTTGTCCAAAACTGCCTTTATGTCTCCAGGCCACATGTGCTTAGCAGCGTCAAGTCTGAACCCTGCTACACCCATGTCAATGAGACGGTTCATATATTCAGCCACCTTGGTACGAACGTAATCTTTCTCGAGTGCAAGATCCAGAAGTCCAGACAGACGACAATTTCTGACCTATTAGAGCAAAAAATGATTGATTTCTTAAAAGTCATGTCTGGTCTAAGAATCCATTTCATCTTTCAGTTCCTCGCCCATTTAAAAATGAATGTTTTCACATTGCCCTTACTTTGACCATGAAAAGTATGGATGTTTTAATTTGGACACAGACTTTAAAATATTTTCTGTTGTAGATAGAGAAAATATCAGAGATAAAATTGGTAAGAATTTTAGGTGGTTAATTCTCTCTCTCTTTCTCTGCCCCCTCTCTCTGTCTCTGCCTCCCTCTCTGTCTCTGCCCCCTCTCTCTGTCTCTGCCCCCTCTCTCTGTCTCTGCCCCCTCTCTCTGTCTCTGCCTCCCTCTCCTGTCTCTCCCTCTGGTCTCATGCCCTTCCTCTCCCACTTCATTTCTACTTTTTCTACTTTCTTTGTTTTAAAATATTTATTTTGCTTCTAACACTTTTCCACACTATATGCTTCTATAATTGATTAACCATGATTTTAAATTTTGCACACAAATTCACTAGAAAGCATGTCTATATTTTTTTTCATTGATTTGGTGTATCCTTATAAAATGTTGCAAAAAAATACAAGACATTTTTCCATTTCTATTTTTCAAGCATTCTGTCTCAATAAACACTTTTTCTATAGTATCTTAATGATATTCCAATGGTTATCCATAAATCCCTTGTGCATTCCCAGATGCCTAGCTGCTTCTTCAGTCTGATCAATATTTCTCTCATTACCTGATAAGCGTCATTGTAGTTAGAAATTTCTCCATCACATTTAGCATCATTAAAATCCCAACCAGAGTATGGAACTGATGGAAAATCCCTGTTATTAGCATTGTAGTAACTTCCACAAGTACTGCTTGTTCCTGCGCCACCACCTGCGCCACACATGTGATTAATAACAGCGTCCACATAAATACGGACCTGGAGAAGGAAAGTGGATATTTCAGCTGGACACAAGAATTGAAAGCTTTAATGGCAAAATCATAACATGCTTACAAATCTCCAAAATATATCTTCTGATGGATGCTTTATGTGTTCTTTTTAGAAAAGAGAGTCAAGTGTAATTCAACACTAATGTGAAATAAAACCAACAATAGCACTAATATTTGGCAAAGAGCATAAAACTGTTAAGTGGAGGTAAAAAGTAACAACAATAATTAAAAAACAAAGATCAATATTTGAGGAACTAAAATGTAGTATAAAAATGAGAGAGCATTGCTTTTGAAATTTTGCCAGATCTCGGGGAGAAATGGCATGGTTTGCACTGTTTCTGTCATGTCTGAAGACCAGAAAGTACATAGATGACTGTTCTTTATAGTGTGAAAGCATATATTTACCATTAGCAATAATGATGGGAATAAAACCCAAGAATTGGAAATCCCATAAAATGACTTTAATCTTCACATCTGGACAAATGTTTATCCAGAAACATGTAAGGAGGTATATATAGAAAACTGCTTATAGGTACAGCCATAACTATAAACAAAATAAAACATAAACCTCAGATTGAGTTGGAATCAGTAGAATGGAGAGAAAATAAATATTGTGGAAGTTTACAAGACATATGGAGAAAAAGCAAGGAGTTGTTTATTCATAGGGACAAGAAAGTAGACATCTCTTTTCATTATAGGGAAAAAATAGACATTTCCAACTAAATCAATGATGTTGAAAACAGCCAATAAATTGATGGAAGAGAACAAAGTCACATAAAAACAACTGTGGCAAGCACATCCAATCCAGTGCCTAAGCAAAATGGAGTAATAAGAAGAATGTGATTACAAGCTAAAAGTCAAAGTTTCATTTTATCAATTCTTATTTTACATAATAGATGTTGAAGGGTTCTCAAAGTGTGAATATAAGACAGTAGAGCATTTTGATAAAGCGTGAAGTAACTTGTGCATGATTTTCTTTTATTTTATTTTCACATTTTATAATTAAAATATATTACTTTCCCGCTTCCCTTGTATCCCTACACTTACCACCCCCAAATTATGAGGCTTTCGTCTCAAATGAAAATGCCAAAGAATAAATGAAGAAAACATTTTCATAGATAGCAATTTTTAATGTCTAAAATTTTATATAAGATTTTAAAGAAGACATGACTCCACTTACACCAACATTGTTGCACCTCGTCACCATGTCCTTGAATTCATCTTCATTTCCAGACCTTGTGCATATTTTGTAGCTAATTGGTTGGTATCTTTCCCACCAGGGCCTTGATGGATTATAAACCACAATATTTTCATTTGGTGGAGAGACCTGCAAATAAAATAGCCATAATTAATTTTGAACAACAGTTTCCAAAGTTCTTACTAAATTGAAAGAACTAAATTTTCAAGGAACCTGTCAATGACCTGACGCTGTTTCTCAACTGTGAACATGCAGTTCTGTCACTTCACAACCACCTGAAAATATGGACAGGACATTGCAGAGGTTCTGCTGGGGTCCTAAACCAAAGTATAAAAGTGTCGTCATCACCAAACCTATTTATTACTCAAGAAATTTATGTGTGAGGTAGCATTGTGCTCCAAACACCTTGACCTGATTAGAATACTGTTTTATATAAACCCAGTAAACTCTTCATTTATATTTTGACTAAGTCTTACCTGCACCCCTCCAAATCCCTTAGGAGCTAAGTATCGCTCACATTCCTTGGCAATATCAACCCAGCGCCACTCAAACAGGTGGACAATAGCAGTCCGCCCATATTGAGTATGTGGGTCATACTGAGCCCAGCAGAACCCAATGAAAGAAACAAGCAGAAAGAACTTCATTTTGCTTTGAAGTTGTCGGTGTTCTTTCTAGCACCTATTTATATGCTGCAAAAAGTACATTTTGCAAAGTCAACATTTATGAATAAATATTTACAGAATAAGCTTTTTGTTCACAATCTAAAAGATTTGTGGTGAAGATGTGAACAGGTGAAGGTCCTTCAGAAACTCTCATGGAAAAATATTTAAAGTCATTTCAGGACATGTATTATTTGATTAGTATAGATCTTACTTCTGATGAACTCCACTAAAACAAGGAAAGTATAATTGAGACAAATATAGCTATAATTATTTTTGCAAATATTTCTATTCCAAATTGAAACAGAATAATATGCTGAGATCCTTTTGTTTCTCCTACTCAAATGCTAATTATGTAAATATTTATATTTATTTTCAAAAACTTTCAAACATTGTAGAATTCATCTGCAATACTGAAAACAGTAAGATAAATAAATGAAGATTCTGAGTATGACAATCCTGGGCTATATAGCAAGCCCTTGTATGCAAATAAATAAAAAAGACATTATGCAAATACTTTTGGATTTGAGAATTATGCATCCTCTCTACCACTGATTGCATATAGACTGTATAAGAAGTTGATAGCTTTAGCTTAACCAAATATCTTCGTACCTGCTACAATACAAATTAGAAGCTTAAAATTCTTCATCCTTCTCAATACTATTAAAAAATCTATGATAGAATATGCTAGTACATATGGGAAGAAACTTCCCCATCCCTTAACAATTATTAAGTGAGCGTTCTCATTTTTGTCAAGCACATAGGACACTAAGTCATAGCAATCAATATGGCAGGTTGCTATTCTACAGATTTCTCTAATAGAAGAAGAAGAAAAATGCATGTAACTATAACTTTAATAATAAATTACTAATTTCAGATGAACATTATAATTAGTAAAATTGTGAAAAAATTATGACAGGGTATAATATAACTTCGACATTATGGCCTTTCAGACTAGATAGTCCAAAAATGTTTCACTAAAGCCCCCACTTTGACTCTGAATTGAAAGAGCAAAAACAGAAAATGCTTTGATGGGTGATAAAGCAATCAGTGTAGATTAAGGGTCACAGGAAAAGTTGCTTAGATTACTGGAGAAACATCAATGACAGCAACAAAAATGTCAACAGAACTAGAGTAAGTGTCAAAACTGGGAAGATGGGGCCGTTGAGTTAGGCCAGATCACAGGAAGAAGAGAGCCATTGAGGCTCTAACAGGAATAGAAAATATTATAATTAGCATAATAAAATCTATACTACATAAATATCTGTAGATGAGAAATTATATGTTTTGACAATTGGTTAAGCTCTTGGTATAAGTAATGTCCTCATTTTTTAATAAATAAGCCCTACGTCAGAAATTGAATAATACACTCAATTATATTCTTTTTTTAAATTATCAACCTATTTTTTATAAGTTTTAAAGTTAACATTTTGTTATAGACTTTATAAATCTTTAACCATACCCAGTAAATTTACAAATCTTAAGGTACATAAAATTCATATAATAATTTTATAATCCTTTTTTATTTTTTTAAAATTAGTTTCTCAGTCATCATCTGGGAGGAAACCATTCTGAGCAAAATCATTAAAAACAGCTCTGATAAAGCATGGTCACTACTGTGTATCATAAAGCAGGTCCACCTATGAGTGAGTACATATCATGTTTGTCTTTTTGTGATTGGGTTACCTCGCTCAGAATGGTTTCTTCGAGTTCCATCCATTTTCCTGCAAATTTCAAGATTCCATTGTTTTTTTTTTTTTCTGCTGAGTAGTACTCCATTGTGTAAATGTACCACAATTTCTCTATCCATTCTTTGCTGCTGAGTAGTACTCCATTGTGTAAATGTACCACAATTTCTCTATCCATTCTTCGGTTGAGGGGCATCTAGGTTGCTTCCAGGTTCTGGCTATTACAAATAGTGCTGCTATGAACATGGTTGAACATATGTCTTTGTTATATGAATGTGCTTCTTTGGGGTATATGCCTAGGAGTAGAATTGCTCGATCTTGTGGTAGACTCATTCCCATTTCCTTGAGAAGTCACCATACTGATGGTTTTATGTGGCTGTACAAGTTGGCACTCCTATCAGCAGTGGAGGAGTGTTCCTCTTTCTCCGCATCCTCTCCAGCATAAACTGTTATTTCAATTATATTCTTTTATTATCTGTATACCTGAAGAAACTATGGGCCAGCAAAACTGACTCAATCACATAAGCTCATATAGTACAAGATGAGGCAACATCTGATACTATCTCTATCTAATTAAAAATAGCTCTTCTCTTTATTTTACCACATTTTCTCTATGAATACAGAAGTTGTGATTTCTAATATGGTAGCCAACAGCAAGAGGTAACTTGTGAACTGTCATTGTACTGATAATTGAAGAGAAATGAGCTATTAGTGAAAAATAAACTCTGGATTTCAGCCTTAGTATAGAAATGCTGTCTTAGAGCCTGGTTCAGAATGGCAATGGGGTACCTGGCTCAAAGAAGAGGCTAAGACTATTGAGCAATGGTGTAAAGCTACAGGGATGGAAACCTCCCAAGATAAATTCTTGGAGGATATTATGCTAGTATAGAAAGGCAGTCTCTATATGATGACTACTCCCAGGCTTTACACTGTGCCACAGCTTTGCATGCTTGGGGCAGAATTGGAGAAGTAGGAAAGAAAATTGAGTCATTTACTAACGTTTACAGGGCTCAAAAGAAGTCTTCATGAATTTGTTACTACAATTAACATGAGGAGACAATAGAAGGATACCAGATTCAGAAGCTAGATAAATAATAATTGAAACTCTGGCTTTTAAAATGCCAATTCTCAATTCAAAAGTATAATTAGGTGTAGGGGAAGCTGTAGCCACGCCTACTTAGGGGCTGGCTGCAGGTGTGCCTAACCACGCTTATGAGTGCGTGGTCAAAGTGACATAGTGTGACTCCGTTTTCTCTTGCTCTTTTGCTTTTGGGCTTGCATACAGACTGCTGCCACACCGGCTGGCTATGTCGCTCTGTAAGTAAGGCTTTTCCCTATTAAATACCCTTATATTTCTACCTGACTCCATATTGGTAATTTCCCACTATAATTAGGCCTTTAAAGGCAAGATCAGCACCTTTGGAGGAATGGATCTGAAATACAATTAATGTTGAAACTCATGACCATGATTATGCATGGATAGGAGAGGTGATTTCAAGAGGATTGAAGAAAAATCAAAATGTCAAGTGTTTTAATTGTAGTAAACAAGGTAACTTTAAAAGGGATTGTAAATAGGGATTTCCTAGAAACAATGATTTTTCTAAGCATAACAGAACACCCCTTCCTTCTGTATTATGTAAAAAGTGTGGCCAAGGCAGGCATTGAACTAATGAATGTAGATCAATAAGAGACATTCAAGGCAATATTTTGCCACCTGGAAACTCCTTGAGGTTGCCTCTCACAGGCCCCTGTGCCAAATCAAGCTCAGTCATTTCCCATCACCATGGAAACTCCTTCCCAGAGGAATTAAAAACATAATACATATTGTAAGAAACTATACTGCTCTGGATGATAGAAGAGTTATAAAGGACAGAACAAAAAAATTCAGGAGAAACCATAAATCAAAAGTAATAAATATTAGATTAACAACCTCCCCACAATTAAGTTTGGGGAGGGATTTGTTTTGGACTTTTCAGGAAAATAAAAACAATCATTTTGAGGAATTTGAGACCTTTGGACAAATAAACATCTAAAGAAGAAGGGAGAACTACCTGAAAAAATACCAAGAAAAATAATCTGATCTAAAACAATCCCTAAAGCCTCCAAAAAGATAATGGGACCCCACAACCACAATTCTACCAGGAATATGATAATGTCACTAAGCTGAAAATAACAATTAAAGATCAACTTTGAACTACAAACTTCACAGAACCATTTCAAGGCCCTTAACTGAGATGATCCAACCTCACAGACACTGCTCAGAACAATTCCAAGGTGGCTATCCGAGATGATCCAGCCTAAAATATTAATCTTTCTAGGACTTGAGACAAGACCTGCACTTTCCCATTATGCAGAGACTGGATGGCAAACAATAGACCTACCTCTTCCAGTACTTGAAAATTAACCCAATTTTTTTTCTTCTCAGAATGCTCTAAAGATGCTGTTCCCCCAAAATAGCAGAAAGTAAATCATGAACATGACTCCCACATTTCCAAGAGGAGGGTGGGATGAGTTATTTTTGGCCTTTCCTGTCATGGGTTGTGGGTATTTGACATTGTTTAGAGGACTTATTACAAGTTGTTATTAGTTATGATCAGGAATAAACTTAAATAAAGTAGAATAGATTCATAGCTCTTGTTTTGAAAAAAAGGAAGATACAGGTAGGATAGGATAAAAAGGGTAGATTATTGAATCTACTCTGAAAAGGAAAAAAGTGAGGATATAGATATGGTAAGATAAAAAGATAGATTATTGAATTTACTTTTAAATATTTTAAATATTTTACATTAGAATGGACTTTTATACAAATTTTGTACATTGATACAAATTTAAGATTAATTTTGTTAAAACATACTGTATATACATTTTTAAACTTATTCAAGTTATTGTACCTATACATCTCAATGTAATATTAATCTCTTGTCCTTGGAACTTATTACTACCAATTTTATAGGATAATAGGAAAATGCAGGTTAGTTATTAGTCACCTATTACAATCAAACTTATAGCCAAATTAGATATGTTTTTAAGGTCAAACAGAGACATATTTTAGAAAGACAGGTAGTCTTCAAATACTTCAGGGATCTACAGAATATAGCATTTAAAATGTTTTAATAACAAAGGTTATATTTTTTATGACAATGAGATTTGTCTGTTCCTGGCAGTACCAATCTACTTCAGAGAAGATAATAGGCAATAAAGAAAGGGATAAATAAATGAAATGGTTCAGAAGGAGGAAAGGGAAGGGAGAAATCTTGTATTTATATATAATCTAAATTCTTCATAAATATGTCTCACAAAGGGAAAGGTATTTAGTTC